ATGGGCTGATTTGGGCGATTTCATGTTGGCTTCTCTGTTGAGAGGCGTTTTTTCTAGGGTACCTACGATGTAGTATGGTACCTAGGTGAGAGGGTGGCCATTCAGCACTCCTGGACTGTTCATGTAGTTCATGTTGATCCTCCTGCTTAGATGATGAGTCAGAAGCGGCTCTGGATTCATGCTGCCACCGGAGCGATTGGTGAGGACTGGCTGATATATAGTTACCCCAACCGTCCTTACGCTGAGGTGTTGCTTCCTCGGCTAGCTCCACCACCTTACCGCGAGGAGGAGGTTTGTCATTCTTAACTATCCATTTCATCTTTTTTGTAGCCCCCAACGATGTCTTACCATTGGACTTTACTTTTTGCAGGAGTCGGAGGAGCTTGCGGAGTTTGTGTCTCCCCGCATGTCCATCACTTATTAGGTGACCTATGGACCTGTTGAGGAGATGATTCCTCCGGCCCCTGAGGAGTGGCGATTAGTGTCCTAGTCTATTCCTCGTCACCTGACCTGGGTGAGCTCTCACTATTCAGCTTATTCGGTGTACATGTATATATTTTGTGTTTCCCTGACTTTGTCTATTTTTGCAGTTCTCTTGCGAGGTGGAAACGCGGATGGAAGCAACCATGGATGCCTTCTGGTACCAGCTGGTGAGATGGATTCGCCGAGCGTCGTGTCGATGTACGGATGACGTTGTGTTGGTACGCCTTTGTGCATTTGCTTTTATTTGTTCATTGTTGCCTTTTTACGCCTGACTTGTTTTGTTGTTTTTATTTCATCCTGCTCCTCAGCCTCGCACTCGTTCGAGGCCAGAGAGCTCGATGGAGCGAGGGGAATCGAGGCGTCGGCACACCATTTTGGAGATCCCAGGTGGGGAGGAAGCACGCAGCTAGGCCGTGGTTGAGGATTGTAGCAGCTCATCGTCAGGGAATGCGAGGCCACTTGGTTATGGTACTCAAGTGCTCTGTCCTCACCAGTCCCCGAGTGCTTTTGTGGCTGGTCTGTCATCTCGGCCCGGTGGTGGGACGTATGAGGTTGGCTCGTCGTCGCAGCAGCCAGAGCCTACTCCTTTTGCTGGCGGGAGTTTTCAGCAGTACGAGCCACACAAAGGTACTTAGTGGACAGGTCCTACCATCACGATCCCGACGACTGGTGGTGCTGATACTGATCGGCGTGGACTCCACGTGGCGCAGAGTTCTATGATACTTTTGGTATTCCTTGGTATTTACGTCCTCCAGCGCCATAGTTGCTCCTGCATGTAGTTTTTTTTACTTTCTAGGACTTTGCTCATATTTTGTATATTTTATTAACTCTTTTATTAGACTTATGTGTATACACTAGACTTTTATGTACATTTTTTAGTCTTTTTATTTCTTGCATTTATTTATGTGCATGAGTTTGAATTTTTGCGCAAAAATTCCATCATTTTTGTTATCATTGGAGGGTATCTGACTTTCTCCCCCATAAAGAAAAAATGAAAAGAAGAAAATAAGGTAAAAATAAGTTTAATTATTTAATTTTGAAATTCCTTTAAAAAGAAATTCCCCAAATCAATTAGGATTTAGCTAAAAGGGTTGAATTTTTGTAGGAAAGGGTGAAAAAAGTGAAAAAGGTTAAGATTAAGTGAAATTCGGAAAAAATCAAAGTACAAATCCGAGTCAAAATCAAATCAATGCGCTTTTATATCTCCAGCGCTAGAAATTATTGCGGTGCGACGGATCCGGGAAAACCGAGTCTGAATGGGACTCAATTTCTGCTTCGATTTTGCATATAAAAAGCCCCCAAATACGCTATAATCAGCATAATTCGAGTCATTAGCTTCTAAATTTTCCATTCTCATCAAATTAGTCATCATGTCTAGGAATTTTTGTGACACAACTCGTGAGTGGTGTCGGTCTTTGACCGCTAAGGAGAGAAAAGAGCTTGACTTTCTTCATATGAGGGGTTTATTTAGCATTAAAGGGGTAGATTTTGATAGTGAATTTATTCAGACCGCCATAGAATATTGGGACCGCAACACCCATTGCTTTTGGCTAAGTAATTATGAAATTAGCCCCCTGCCGGAAGAATTTGGTGCTATTCTTGGTTTTCCCTCTGTAGACCTTGTAGTAATTCCCACGGTGCTTGAATATTACTACAAAGATTTTGAGCGCTATTATAATCTAAGGGAAAATGATTTGAAAACTATAGTTGATGGTAGTGAAGTTGATCTTAGAAAATTTGCATCTTTTTATTTTAATAGACCTAAGTCTGACTCATTCCACATATATAGAAGAAGAGCCTTTCTTTATTGCATGTTTAGCCAATTTCAGCTTACTAGTGGTATTATGCATATGGGTCAAGCTATTTTAGCATTTGTCATGGAACAAATTGACGCTGGGAGAAACCCAATGCCATTAATTGTTGGAGAAACAATGCTAAGTTTAGATGAACTAAAGAAGGATCCCAAAGCACCACTTCGAGGATCTCCGATATTATTATAGGTAGAAAATTAATACTCTTAATCACAGAAATCAAAAATATATTTAATTAGTAAGGTAATAATAATTTGTTTCTATTCTTGCAGATTTGGCTAATGGAAAGACTTGGATTAATCAGTCCTCCTGACAATATTGAGAAGTATACTCCAAATTGCCTTGTAAGAAGGAAGAAGCGATTTTCTTTAAAGATGGGACGCCGGGAGTGGAGTAGAATTTTTGAAACTCGCGACTTCTCCATCAAGTGGGTCATTCCTTGGTGGAAAATTGAGAAGATGGTTGGGGTCAACACTCAACCTTCCTGCCGTATTCCAAGCTTGTCCAAGTTAACTTTTTACTACCCTTTTAGGGTGATGAGACAATATGGTCTTGCTCAAACCATTCCTTCTGGAGATCATCGTCGACCATAGGAGTACCCTGTATCAAAGAATGTTGAACGATTTGATGATTATTGGTGTGCTAGACCCTTATGGAATGTTGTCTCTAATAGGGTTCCTCTTCCATTGTCTAGGGAATTTAAACAATGGTTACTTGGTCAAAACCAAAAGGATAAGAACAAGGTTCGAAACACAAGCTTCGAGGGTGCAGAGAAGACTAACGTAAAAGATCGCTTAGGTAAAAAGAAGGCTCCTCCTAAAGAACGTCTGGGTTTGAGAGTTGAATTCAAGACTCCTATCATGCCTAAGAAGAAAAATTTTGCGGAGGGTAAAGGGAAAAGGAAGGCTGACTCTAAGGAAAAGAAGGCTTGGATTGAAAAGAAAGTTAGCGTTATTGCTGAAGGGGAAACTGTTTCTTCTAAGGTTCAATTAGATCATCTAATGGTTTCTTATTGGTAAAGGAGCTAGAAGATGAAGAAGATACAGACAATAATTGGAAGAGAGATAGAAAGGAGAAGACAAATTAAAGCATTGCTTTGCTTTCAATTTATTAAACAATTTTAAATTTCAAGTTAATTTTATTTTTTAAGCTTTTATTTCATCAATAATGTAATTTTTCTTTATTCCAATTATTAATGCAATTTTAGCTTAAAATTAACTTCTTGTCTTCAATATTCCTTTATTATTAGAAACAATTTTAAGCAATGAAAACAACTTGAGTAATTTCGAAAATAATCCGAGTACGGAAGTCGGAAAATCTCTGAAGTATCTGAAACAGTTGTGATTAATCGCAGCTTTGAAACGACAAAAAATCGGCTTCCATCGCAGTGCGATATATCCATCGCGGCACGATATTGCTGACGCGGCGCGATGGTGTTATCATGGCACGTTGGTTCCTGATTGGCTACGATACTTGACTTTTGCGATACTGAGTTGAAGTGTTGTCGTAAAAAGGCGGGATTTTGAAAAATTAAAGTGGCCGCACCCTTTAAAAGGGTTGCATACGTATCCTTTTTTAAGGAATCAGACCAGACGTAGCTCTCTTGAGTATAAAACTCAATTAAATCATGGGTAGAACTTTTTGAGTTGGTCAAGGTTTGACATATTCGAAAATTCATCACCATCCATGTTTGTGAGTTTAGTTGCACCTCCAGATAGGATAGTTTTTACAATGTGTGGTTCAGACCAATTAGGCGTAAACTTGCCTCTTGGGTCTAGAACATGCTTTCTAAGTTCTTTTAACACCAAGTCTCCTTCCTTGATGTTTCTTGTCTTGACCTTTTTGTTAAAGTGTCTTGCCATGCAGGTTTGGTAGCATTGGTCATGATGTAAGGCTTCTAGTCGTTTTTCATCGAGTAGAATTAGCTCTTCATATCGTGCCCTTGTCCATTTGACCTCGCCAAGCTTACTTTCTAGTGCTATGCGCAAAGAAGGTATTTCTAGCTTTACAGGTTGTACGACGTCCATTCCATAAACTAGAGAGAACGGCGTAGTTCCTGTGGATAATCGGATTAACATGCAATAACCCCAAAGAGCAAAGTGGAGTTTGTCAGGCCAATCCTTGTAGTTTTTTGTCATCTTTTTTATGATCGTTGTTAAATTCTTATTGGCTGCTTCGACTGCACCATTTGCTTGAGGCCTATATGGAGAGGAGTGGTGATGTTGAATTCCATAATTTAAATTCCATACTTTTTAAGCAGGTCTTCACACTCCGCTTGAAAGTGAGTTCCATTGTCACTTATCATTTCATGTGGGACTCCGTATCTACATATGATGTTCCTTTCAATAAAGAGTGCCACATGTTTTACGGTGAGTTTTGCATAGGACGCTACTTTAACCCATTTGGTGAAATAATCAATAGCAACGAGAATGTATTCATGACCTCCCGTTCCAGGGGGGTGATTTTTCCGATGATATCTATTCCCCAAGTTGAGAATGGCCATAGAGATGTATAAGTGTAGAAGAGTGATGGTGGAACATGTTGTAAATTGGCATATAATTGACATTTTGCACATATTTTCACATATTGATGGTAATCTTTTTGCATGGTAGTCCAGTAATAACCTTGACGCATGATTTTCTGAACTAGCATTTTGCCATTCATGTGTGTCCCACATGCTCCTTCATGGATGATTCTCTTCACTCTTTAAGCTTCCTTTTTGCCTAAACATAGGAGAGCTCTGCCTTTAGGTACTCTTTTATGGAGTTCATCATTTATGAGCACATACTGTGAGGCTAAGAGTCTTAAAGCACGCTTTGCACTTTTGTCAGCAATACGTGGATATTCCCCTTTGGTGACATAATTGAGGATGTCTATATACCAAGGTTTTTCTTCTTCTTCTTCTTCTTCTTCTTCTTGGGTTACTTCTTCATCCTCAATAGCCTGAATATAAGCAGGCTTATGCCTTTTTTCTGTAGTTAAAGGTATTTGCTCAATTTCCTTAGGAATCCTAACTATTGAGGCTAGTCTTGCCAAAACATCAGCTAACTGGTTTTCTTCTCTTGGTTGATATGTGTATTCTACCTTTTCGAGTTGGTCAGTAAATGTTTTCAAATAGGTTTGATAGGGAGCTAGACTTTCACTTCTTATTTTCCATCTTTTGGAAATCTGGTTGATAACAAAGGATGAATCCCCAAATATTCGAAGTTTCTTCACTCCCAATGCTAAGGTTGTGTCGAGGCCTACCACACATGCTTCATATTCCACAGCATTGTTGGTAACGTCGAAGTCAAGCTTGATTGAGATTGGGACATGTTCTTCCTTAGGTGATACTAATAAGACTCCTATGCCACACCCTTTCTGGTTGGATGCGCCGTCAAAGTATAATGTCCAAGTATCATCCTCAGTGACCATCAACTCTTCATTTGGGAAGTCATACCCTTGTGCTGGTGTTGAATCCTCAATTGGAAAGTCTGCTAAGAAATCCGAGACCGCAGATCCTTTGATGGCCTTTTGGGGCATGAATCTTAGGTCGAATTGAACTAAGTTTACTATCCATCTGGATATTCTTCCATTGAATGTGGATTTCTCAAAGAGATACTTAAGGGGATCCATTCTAGATACCATATAGACTATATGGACGAGCATGTAATATCTTAACTTGGTTGTGGCCCACACGAGTGCGAGGCACAGCTATTTCAAGTGGTGTGTAGTGAACTTCTTATTCAAGAATCTTTTTACTTAGGTATTAGATGGTGTTTTCCTTTCCTTCTACTTCTTGTGCGAGCATAGCCCCCATTGTTTCCTTGGTGACTTCAAGTATAGATGAAGAGGAATTCCTGGTAGTGCTGGTGCTAATACAGGAGGATTCTCAAGGTAGGATTTGATCCTATCAAAGGCTTCTTGACATTCATCGTCCCATATTACTGGTACATTTTTCTTGAGTTTCTTGAAAATTGGTTCACATATCGTGATGAGCTTTGATATGAACCTACTAATATATAGTAACCGACCAATAACTCCTCGAATTTGCTTCTCAATTTTGGGCGATGTCATGGACATGATATCCTTAATTTTAGTGGGAACTATCTCTATTCCTCTAGAGCTAATGACATAGCCTAAGAGCTTTCCTGAGGTAACCCCAAATGCACACTTGGCAGGATTTAGCCTCGTGTTATATTTTTGGAGCCTTTCGAAGAATTTTCTTAAGGCTACTTGGTGTCCGGAGCATCATGTCGTCTACATAGACTTCGACCTCTTTTTGCATCATGTCATGGAGTAAGGCAATTGCTTCTCTTTAGTAAGTGGCGCCCGCGTTTTTTAATCCGAACGATATCACCGTGTAGCAGTAAGTGCCCCATGGTGTTATGAAGGTTGTTTTCTCCATGTCTTCTTCCGCCATGAGAATCTAGTCGTAACCTGCGCACCCATCCATAAACAAGAAAAGTGCATGATTAGCTGTATTATTTACTAAGATGTTGATGTGTGGTTAAGGGAAGTCGTCCTTTGGACTTGCCTTTTTAAGATCTCTATAGTCGACGCACATTCTTACTCTACCATCCTACTTGGGAACTGGTACCACATTGGCGACCCATTTTGGGTATTTAGATACCTTTATAAAACCTGCTGTTATTTGTTTTTGAACTTCTTCTTTTATTTTAAGAGCTACGTCGGGTTTCATTCGGCGCAACTTTTATTTTACAAGTTTCATTCCACAAATTAGTGGTATAGTGTGTTGAACAATTTCTCTATTTATTCCTGGCATATCTTCGTAAGACCAAGCGAAAACATCGATGAATTCTTTAAGTAAGTTTATTAATTGAGTTCTCTCTTCTTGATTTAGAGTTAAGCCAATTTTAACTTCTCTTTCAATGGTAGGATCCTTTGAGTTGTTAACTGTTTCAGTTTCCTCAATTATTGTTGTTTTATTCTCAAGTGTTTCCATAGCTTTAATTATTTCTTTGTCATTTTCATTATTATCAAAGCATTGCTCGTTATCTTGGGTAAGGGAATAGCACGAGGAGTAAGAGGAAGAAGACATATTATTAAATTCTTAAACCATTACTGTTGAGTCCCTTAGGTTTTGATTGATAGTTTTGAATGATGACAAACAGCTAAGGGAAACAGGTCTTTGAAAGTGTTCAATACAGTTGGGGGAACCAGCTAAAATAGAACACTGTTTCCCTAGATAAGTTATTACTTATATGAGATATTTGTTGAACTAACTTATCTTTATACAGGGAACAGTTAGATGATGAATGAGCTATGCACTGGTAGGAAACCAGTATAAACTGTTTTCTCAAACTGCTTTTATGAAAGGCAGTTACTTATTTAGTATTGTACATTAACTTTGTTGAATGTGCAATATCTAAGTTGATTTCTAAGACTGGAAGCTTGAAAGAATTTTCGATCAACTTAAAGGAAGGTCCTTTGGTCAATAATTGAGTTCATTCATGGAAGCTTTCAAGACTTAACGAATGCATGAAGGAAGACTACACTCAAAGAGTTATTTAGGAACTTCATGTAAATGCTCCGTAGTATAACTTATATAATTGAGTATATAAAGTGCTTTTAGTATATTAAATATCGTTATGAAATTTGGTACAAGGTTTGGAACAAATTTCATAACATATTCAGTTCAGGGAACCAGGCCAGGGAACCAGGTTAACTGAACAGATTATTCAAGCTGCCGTTTTTACAAAGATTTTATAAAAAGATATTTTCCGAAAAATATTGATTTAAAATATATCCAAGCAGCTAAGAATAAAGATGATATTTTTGGTTAGCTAAAAACTAGGAAGTATTTTATCTTAAATTGATTTTATCTTGTGATCAAATCAATTAAGATAAATACTTACCATAAATCGTATATATCTTATATGCATGATTTAAGGTAACTAGGGTTTAGCTAACTAACCTATAAAATACATCTTATTCTGAATAATCAGATACGGCTCTCACGCATTTTAATAGAGTTTTATTTTTGAGAGCTAAAAGCACTAATTCAATTATTAAGTGATACATAAGAGCATAATAGTGTTTTAACGTTTTTCTCTATTTGACTTTTGAGAGTTAGATCATTAGAGAGTTCTTGATCTTGTATTAAGTCTTTGACAGAGGGGTTGAAGACTTGGTGAGTGTTTGTGAGTTCAAACACACTAGGAACTTACGAGGGTAAGTTTAGAGCACATTCGGAGTAGAGTGTGGGGTTTACTGGTTCCCGGAGTAGGGAAACAGTAGAGTGTTCTTTGTCTTTATTTTTCGGAGTAGATTAATAAAGGACTTAGGATAGGAGGACGTAGGCCAGAGTTGGCTGAACCTCGTTAAATCTGTGGTGTTCTTATTGCTTTGTTTTATTCCGCTGCATAAGGGAACCAGCACAACTGGTTCCTTACACATAATCCGAAAAGAAGCAAAAATCGCTAACGATTACTTAACACTCAATTCACCCCCCCTCTTGAGTGCCCATTGAACCTTCAATTGGTATCAGAGCCTAAGCTTCTCGAAAGAGTAACATCTAGAGGAGTTAAGAATGAGTACTCAAGAATTAAGTGCAATTGGTTATGACAACAAGACACCAAAGTTTAATGGAAATAATTATGCTTGGTGGAAGAACAGGATCCAGAATGTTATCATGGGTATTGATTATGAATGCTGGCTCGTAGTTAAAAATGGTCCTAATATCATTCTCAAGACAGAAGCTGATAGGAAACAGGTTCCCAAGAAGGATAGCGAATTGGTCACTGCTGATTACAAGTTGCTAGAGAAAAATGCTAAGGCAATGTCAATTCTACAACAAGCAATAGGTGAGACCGAAACAAATCGTATCTCTGGTTTCAGTAGTGCTAAGGAGATATGGGACACCCTTGAACTTGCGTTTGAGGGAACCAGTGAGGTAAAACGATCTAAAATTGATTTAATCATGTCTAAATACGAATTGTTTGCCATGAATAAAAATGAAAAAATCAATGATTGCTTTCGTAGGTTTATGACTATTGTTAATGATCTTAGATCACTTGGTAAAAAAATTTCTGATGAGGATCTTGTGAGAAAAATTTTGCGTAGTTTAACAGATACATGGACAGCTAAGGTAACAGCAGTATATGAAGCAAAGGATCTGTCAACCTTGTCTTTGGAACAGCTTATTGGTTCCCTTATGACTCATGAGATGCTGATTGACTCTAAGTCTGACAAGGAACCAGCCAGAGGCATGGCACTGAAGGGAACAGTAGAAGAAGAAGAAGATGAGATCAGCATGATTGCAAAAAGATTTGAAAGATCTCTTCGTGATCAAAAGAGGAATTTCAAAGGTAAGAATTTCAAAAATACAAAAAAATCTAACTCTTCCTCACCTTCAGGTTGCTTCAAGTGTGGTGAGAAAGGACACATCATTCGTGATTGTCCAAAATGGAAGGACAAGCAATCTCAATCTGGAGATAAGAGGGCTTTCAAGAATGCCATGATAGCATCTATGTGGGGAGAATCTGACTCAGGATCTGATGAAGAGGAAGATACACCTAGTTCTGATGTTTGCTTAACTGCTTTCACAAACATCAAGGAGAACAGCACTGGTCCGGGAACCAGAGGGGGAACCAGTACATTCAAGAAATGCTTGATGGCTAAGAAGGATGTACTACAAAAACATAAGGTAAACCTTGAACAAATTAGAATAGATATGCATGAATATGATAGAGAAAATATGCTCGCTTGTATAGATTCTTTATTGGATGAATGCTATAAATTAGGTGAAACTTATATAATTGGCAAAAGAGAATTAAAAGAAAAACGTAATGAATGTAAAATTGCTATTGCTAGTTGTGATCACCTAGAGATGGTTTGCCATAACTTGAAAAATCAAGTTGCTGAACTAGAAGTTGAATTGGACAAGTGCAAGGTAGAACTAGGAAGGGCAAGATCTTCTGAACTTGACTATCCGAGTGATGGTGAAGAAGATTTGATCTCCTGGTTCCCCAGAGACTTATCCACTACTAGTGAAGTCCTTGATTTTTCAACAGTCATAAGTAAAGCAAATTCTTGCAATAGAACTTCTCTGTTGAAGGCCTTTGAAACATTGGCTTTCAACTTAGAAAATTCTCACAAAGAAATTGCTTCACTTAAAGCTGTTCAGCCCCCTGGTTCTCCTACTGGAACCAGCATTGAAGTCAGCAGTATGATTAATGAATATGAAAGTACTATCTGTAAGTTACATGCTGAATTTAATCAACTAAAAAGTGAAAAGCAATCAGTAGTCATTGACATGTCTAATGACCCTATGGTTTTAGATCTTAACTTACAACTTGCAACTTTAAAAAGTAACTTTGAGTTTTTGAAAGAGAAAAACGAGTTGTTAGTTAAGACACTTGAAACAAAAGAAAGGGAATTGCATGACAGTCATAGACATGTGGATAAGCTACTGAATGCACAAAGAACCTTGGACCATCTGACTTCATCAGGAGGAAACAAAGGAAAATTTGGTCTTGGTTATACTAGACAGAGAACCAGGACTAACTGGTCTCCCAGAGAAACCACCTGGATCAAAGAATATCAGCGAGGTAAGTATGTCATGACTAAAGAGATGCACGTGTGTTTTCATTGTGGTAAGAATGGACATAAGA